TTCCGATCTCCCCAAAACCCCAAAACCCCAAAACCCCTTCAAGAATAAATGTGTGAAATTAATGAATTAATAATTATATATCAATATTGATAAATATGATGAAATATCTTTCGGCAGCAAGTGTTCTTCTAAATGTTATCGCATTTGCGAACGCAGCATCCATTTATGATGAGATTGAACATAATGAAGATGTCAACAGAAAGTTTAGTTTAGATCTACAGAGTGTAGTCGAACTCACTACAGATATCAAGTTTAGAGCCCCAAATGATGTTAATCACTACTACTTTGTTGTGCCACGTGATTTAGAGTATAATTAGATCAGCATTCAAGGTACAGTCGCCGGTAATGCAGATCCCTTAAAGATCACTAAACTTGTTAACCCTGAAGCCAGATTATTAAAGAGATTCACAGATTAGAATGCATCTGATGCTGTCTTCTTTGATATCGAACTTCCAAAGGGAGCATTCTAGGCATTCACAATTAAAGAATTATACAAGAGAAGAAAATAACCATTCCCATCTACAATTAAAATCTAAGATGAACAAATGCTCTTATTTACTGACTCAAAATACTATCTCTCAGTTTACCCAACAAAGTCATAAAAGTTACAATTCGCTTATGAAGCAAGCAATACAGTGTAAATTTTGATAATATCTTAATCAATTTTAGCTTCTATACCCCCGATACAACAGCCGAGAAGAAATCAAAGCTCTTGAGATATGGACCATTCAAGGACATTGCAAAATTCTCATTTGAATAAGTAATGGTTCATTATAAATACCCAGGACCTCTCCCAATTTTCACTGAAGTAAAAAAGACAATTGAGATTTCTCACTGGGGAAATATTTTAGTCGATGAATATTACGATTTATTTAATGAGGCAGCTGGTATCAATGGAGAATTCGGAAGAGTTGATTACCAACACTGGAACCCTAATGTAGCACCTTATGCTATAAAGAGTCTAGAGACTGGTTTAGACAGATATATCAGAGGACTTTATTACTGGGATTATATTGGTAACATTTCAACTTCAAATGCTCACAGAGATCTTGAAAAAGTTAAGTTCAGAATCGAACCCAGATTCCCCATTTTCGGTTAATGGAAAACTGACTGGAGCCAAGGTTACAGTACTCCAACTAGATATCATTTATTCCAAGAAGCTCAGCAAAATTCAAGATATATTTTCAACTATACCTTTATTCAAGACTTCAATGAATTCCTAGCTGAAAACTATACTATCAAAGTTATCCTCCCAGAGGGAGCAACTAATATTAAGTTCCATTCAGCATTCTCTGTTGATTAGATAGAAACTGGATTACATTTCTCAACCTTAGACTATATTGGTAGACCATCAATCACTATTAAAAAGGATAATGTTCATAAACTCCTCCATAACGAAGCTTTCCAGGTAACTTATGATTTCTAAAATGCAGGTATTTTCATTGAACCAATTTATGTCATCGCCTTCTTCTTTGTGTGCTTCCTTACAGCCATTCTTTACGGTAGAATTAACTTAAGTCTTGATGAGAAAAAGAAACAATGAATATGGTTGATTGCAATACAAAATTAATAGTGACACTTCCTTAAAAGTTGAAATCATTATAGAGCGTTTATATATTAAAATACTATTCATATCTATAGATTTATAAATCTCTCTATTCCCATAATCATGGGGTTTTGGGGTTTTGGGGTTTTGGGGTTTTGGGA